TTGACTTCCTAGAAAGCAGGTTCGCTGTGCCACTATTTTTTAAGAATGCAAGTTTATTATTCAGGGTTAGATAATTGAAGTGTTACCTATTCAAGCGATCACATTATTTTTTTATTGATTCAAATTACAAAAATTTGTGAAAATAATTAAAATTTCACAATCCATTCACTCTAGCTTGATGTGGCCACCTTTTGTCTTGACTATGGCTGTGATCTTCCAGTATTTTGGCCTATTCCTGAATAAAAGCTTTCTTCAGCGTATCGAAACTGGCTTATTTTTTAGTTCTCAACTTGCTCTCCAAATTGGCCCAGCGTAACAACTCCTTTGCTCATTCGAGTCTAACTTTTTGTTGCTTTGGTGCAAGATCTTGTGCCTTGGAACTTTTAAAGCTTTACCTTGAGCTTATTTTGGAAAATGCGTCAGATGCTTCGTTCAGATATTATCGGTTCTTTGGCCATTTGATTAGTACTACGACGTGGATTTCGTTTAAGTCGAGCCTTCACTTTCCGAACCATTTTAGGCAATGTTGCTGTTTTTTTTTTTGTCCACCACTATAGCATTTGGTGACTCTGCCTGAGCTATTATAACGATTTAAGGTACGATACACAAACATTTTATTCACATTGAGATATTTGAGCTCAAGCACAATAGCTAGTTGTAATTTTCCAACCAAATATAATGCAATCACACTTATTTTTTAATTCCATTTCGAATAATATTAGTTCTATAAAACTTAGACGCAAATGCTTGTGGTAACTTGTAAACAATATAAATAGCTGTCATTCATATGAATTTGACGTAGTTGGCAATATCAGTTTGACAAACATATCGCTGTGTAATTTGTAACACTTCAATCGCCTAACCCTATATATTATTAAGAATCTTTTAATATTTATCATAGATTCGCGTATCAATAAATAGATACATAAATCTTCGCAGGTAGTATAATCTAAGTTACAATAATATTAATATTATATTTGTTACTAATAAAAATGTACAAAACAAATAACGTTGCCAGGCCAATAGCATAAAGTTTCATAATTACCTTTTTGAAATCAAGAACCTAATAATTTTGTGCCAAATATTTGTATTTATTATTAAATAAATGTGATACAATTATTAAAAAACATTAATATTCATAATATAAAGAAGGAAACATATAAAAAATAATTATTTTTCTTTTAAAAGTTTTAAAATTTATTTATTTATTTACTAAACATCTTATAAAATTTTCAAAATGGTAACACCTAATTTATCTCATTAGAAATTCTGGTATGTACCAACAATCGCTGCCATACCGACATAATTGACTATTTCCCCTAAATATACTCGAACTCGCACACGGCCTAAATGTTTACTATTATTATCATAGTTACTATTTCAATATTTTGGTATTGTAATATTTATTATTATAGATAAATTATTTAAAGGTAGAGTTTTTAAAATTTGTATCTGAATTAGTTTTATAAAATATTCTATATTTTATAAAAGATTTATGGCAGTAGATGGAAAACATCCAAAGCCACTGTGTGAGTCTTGAACCTACTAAAACTAGCTCTTAGGAATGACTATGGAAGATTGCAGCCGCAAGTTTATATATATACTTCAGTATCTATTTAAATGTTATCCATATCCATGTTAGTTTATAAAAAAATTCATCTTAAATTTTAACATTTTATGTCGTATATCACTCCTTATAAAAATGTTAGAATACGCACATTTAATTTTAATTTTATTTTAATTATAAAGTAATAAAAAGAACATTTTTTTTAAATATACATATTTAATAAAATACTTATAATAGTCAAAGTTAAATAATTAAATTATAATTATAAAAGAAAAAGTAAAATGATTTCATTCTTATATATTTTTAATCATGTATGTAGATATAATTTTTTTTTATGAATTCTATTAAGTAGGATACGTACAGTTGTTATTCGAATGATATTGAAAACTATAAATTTAATTGCTGATATGTTATTAATAACGTTTATATATAATAATTTTTCACATGATTAAAAATTATTTAAAACTTGTAATAAAATTTTAAAAATAACACGTATAGAAAATCTTAAAACATATTTTAAAGTAAACGAATTCAATGTAACATGTTAACATTATGGATGGATATCTAATCTCAAATAGACACTATTTGATATAATTAAAAGTGATAATCTTATATTCTAATTAAAATACAATATATTTATTTATAATTATTTCTATTAGTGCTTTAAAATTTTAAACTTTTATATAAATTGAGTTAATATTTCAAAATAGGATAAAACATAAGCATTCAAAATGTTAAAACTGACGTTTTTATGCATCTCGTGTTTTATTAAATTTGCATTTATAAATATATGAAATATATAAAACCATATATATAATTTAACAGAGAATTGAATAAACTATTTAATAAATAATTTAATATATAAATTATACAAAAGATAACTTTAAAATATTCTAATTTATTAACAAGTTCAACTATAGATTTACAAAATTTAAAGTTTAAACCAATTTTTATATATTTTATATAATTATAATTAGTATAAAAATGAATGTAATAAAATATTCAATATCTTCTTTACTTAATTTGATTTAAATAATTGTGTTTAATTTACTTGGTCTATTTAAAATTAATAATAAATGTTGAAAAATTTTTTCAAACTCAGTAGAAATATGTATTAATGAAAAATTTTTATAAATGCGCTCTTCTCGGCGCTTCGTACAAAGTGAGCTAAGCTACCATAAAAATGTGAAAAAATATTCATAAGTAAGAATATTACGGAATATTAAAAAGCAAATATGTCTGAAGCTGTTGCCGTTGCAAATACAGATTCTCCAAAGGAGATAACTGCCGTTCCTGAAAAGAAAGTTGCTGTTAAAAAGGCAACAAAAGTAAAAAAACCTTCTGCAGCTCCATCTCATCCATCAACACAACAAATGGTTGATGCATCTATCAAGAACTTGAAGGAACGCAGCGGATCTTCATTGTTGGCAATTAAAAAGTATATAAGTGCCACATATAAATGTGATGCCCAGAAATTGGCTCCATTTATTAAAAAATATTTGAAAACTGCTGTAGCTAATGGCAAATTGATACAAACAAAAGGAAAAGGTGCATCTGGTTCATTTAAATTATCAGCTGCTGCTGCTAAGTCTCCTAAATCGTCTGTCGAGGGTAAGAAAAAGAAGGTGCCATCAGGTGTTACGAAGAAGAAGGTTACTGCATCATCTGCAGGTACTAAAAAGTCAAAGGCAAAGGTATCTGGAGAGAAAAAACCTAAAAAATCTGCGGCAGCTAAGAAGAGTGTTGAAAAGAAAAAAACTGAGAAAGCTAAAGTTAAAAGTGTTAAAAAGATTGGATCTGTTAAGGCTAAGCCAGCTAAACCAAAGTCTACTTCTACAAAAGCTAAAACGGCCGCAAAACCTAAAAAAACTGCCGTTAAAAAAACATCAGTCAAGAAAACTGCTGCAAAAAAATAATTTTAAAAATCAAACTTTAAATTCATCAAAACAGCCCTTTTTAGGGCTACAAAATATGTGTAAAAAGAAGATAAGAAGATTCATTATTTATTTATTTATTTATTTATTTTATAAAATGTTTTAGTATATGGTATACCTATTGCGTTTATTAATGACCGGTCACTAAAGATTGAATAATCACCTATCGAAGTTAGGAATTCAATCCAACTCAGACTGCAGATACTGTAGAGAAGAGAGAAACTGCATACCATGTGCTTGGGTAGTGCCCACTGATGCACAAACGGAATAAACACCTAGGAGGGTATTTCATGGATCATAAATATTCAAGACTAGGAAAGATGGACTTTATATTGTCTTTCATTAAAGAAAACGGACTTGGAGAAACACTCTAACCCGAGTAATGGGCACAATATACCTTGTAGGTCACAGTGCACGATCATTTCTTTTAATAATACCTCATGAATAATATGAAGAAATTCTTTTATTCTGTAATGCGCTATAAATTTAATCTCTAATAAGCAAACAAAAATTCTTTATGCATTTAAAAAAATTATATTCTCTTATTTAGACATTATGTGCAATACTTCACATCATTCTTAAGTTAATAAATATTTATCTTATTCTATTATATTTAATATCCAATTATTTATTTATTATAGTAATGACCATAAAATATTATATATCAAAATATGTCATTTATTTGATGAAATACTCACTTGTATATATTTTATTCACTTAATTTCATTTTTAAATTCTATTTTAAATAAATAAAAATAGTGGTTTATGCTAATTTTATTTATTATTATATAATGCTTCTAATTACACTTGTTAATTTATAACTAACACACCACACTCGGTACTCACTTGCAAGACGCTGCAAATTACTTAAAGATAATTTTAAAATATTCTAATTTATTTCAATAACAAGTTCTTTTATTTCTTTTCTTTATATAATATTGTCATAATTCACTTAATTCATATACGAATTTTTTTCACTTTCATTTTCCCCGGAAGCAGTTTGCTTGTTGAACACTTGGATTTGGATTAAGATTAAGATTCAGTGTGAGATTTGAATTCACTAAAACCACCTCTTAGGAATGAATGGAGAAAATTTTTGCACCATTGTGCGGAAACTTCAAACTGCAATATCTAACAGTCCGCAAATTACTCATATACGTCAGTTCTATTTATCTTATTCTATAAAAAAATTGAATGAGAATTATAATTAAGCCCGTAAGAAGCTAGTCCACATATATACTGCTAATGTAACAAAGAAATTGAGAATTATAATAATAAATATTTTGTACATTGTTAAACTGATCATTTTAATTATAAATTATACTCGACAGACATCAACCGATCAGGCTAATAATAAATTTTATTTTTTTATAATTTTAGAAAAATACCAACACATATATATGTAAATTTATCTCTTTAAGTGTAAGATTATTTGGGTCCTGAAAAGGACCATTGGGCAATATATTATTGCATTATTAAATCAATAATTGATTATTTGCTTAACCTCCAAAACCGTATAAGGTACGGCCTTGTCTCTTTAAAGCATATACGACATCCATGGCTGTAACAGTCTTCCTTTTGGCATGTTCTGTATATGTAACAGCATCACGGATCACATTTTCCAAAAATACTTTCAATACTCCACGAGTTTCTTCATAAATCAAACCAGAAATACGCTTAACTCCGCCTCGGCGAGCTAAACGTCTGATAGCTGGTTTCGTAATACCTTGGATGTTATCACGAAGAACTTTGCGGTGACGCTTAGCACCACCTTTTCCTAATCCTTTGCCACCTTTACCACGACCAGTCATTTTGTATTTAAATTTTTATAGATATGGTAGAACCGTTCGAATTCAAATTCAAACAATAAATGAAGTGACGACGGATGATTGACGACTATTTATAGAAAATATAAGCACTACGAAAGATATGAAAAATATTGGGTAAAACAAAACAAAACATAAGAAAACAAAACAAAAAGAATAAGCAATATGAGAAACAATGAATGTTAAAACATGTGAATAGTTGAAACAGAACATCCAGGTATGATGAGAAAATTGAGCTATTCAATTGCGCTATTTTTTTTTTAAAAATGACGGAAGGATCATAAAAGACACTTCATTCAAGTCGTTGTTAAGTACGGTTGTGTTTTTTTAGTGCTCGTGCTAATTTTCAACTCGCAAATCATTCATTCGGCAATTATAGTGTAAAGTGAAATTAAATTCAAACTCGCGGTAGAGATATGTTAGTGAAATTCAAAATAACAAAATAAGTTAATAAAAAAATAAAAAAATTTTGTACCTGAATTTAAAGTGCAGTGCATATCGTTTACCTGTAGTGTGGTTTATTAAATAAGCAAACAATCGCCAAAGACGATTCAATTATTGTGTATACCTGCAAGGGAAAAAATAAAAATAAAATAAGGTTAATAAGTCATTACAAAATCGAAAGAGACAATAGTAATAAAGAAAGGAAAATAAAAACAAAACTAATTATTTAAAAAAAAACAAAAGAAAAAAGTGTGTCTTTAAAACTATATTTTTATAACAAGCAGTCAAAGGAAGTTTTGTGCATACCTGTTAAAAAAAGGTATCCAATCAAAAATAAAAAATTTTTTTTTTAAAAATTGCTTACTGGTGAGTGATTCATTTTTGTGAACTTATTAAACAAATTGAACATTAATTTTGAACATTATTAAATTTTGTATTTTGTGCTTATTTATATATATTATATATATATTTTTATGCACACTTGTATATGGTATTATATCTTTTAATTATATTTTAAATTAATTTTCTTGTATTTTCGTTCTGTCCGTCTGCATACCTCCTGTTCCTATGGATGTGGAGGGTGTAGGTTCAAATAGCGCCAGTAGCTCTGAATCGGAGCCTGACTCCACTATTAAACGGCGCAAAACATCTTCGCCTAAAAAAGATGAAAAAAACATTAGCTACAAAAAAAAATTTTTAGTCCTTTCTAAAAGGTTCAATGAAATTGAAAAGCTTTATCAAGCTATTTTGCATGAAAATGCATCTCTAAAACAAATGCTTCACGCTGATTACTCTAGCGATCTAGAAGTTGATCCTCAAGAAGAAGAGATCAGTACTCCATCTAGCCTATCGGCTACTACAGCCACTCCCGCCTCTTCTGATGCTGCTTTCGCAGCAAATTTCCCAGCTCTTCCAGTGCCCAAATCTAATGGTATTTTAACTAATGCTCCCATTCATACTACTACGACATCTGCCGTTCGTCTTACTTCCTCGCGCCCTTTGCCAGCGGCTGCCAAAGATAGTGGCAACACGGCCATTCCTCTCCCTTCAAGTATGCCAACTAGTGGCAAAACTCCCCCAGCTATCACTGTTCGTGATGTTAATATCAAAGAACTTCGCAGCAGCATCAAAGCTGCTCTTCCCAACTCTGCATACGAGTTCAAAGCCATTAATGGTAAAACTTTTCGTATCCTTACTAAATGTAAAGATACATTTTACAAAATAAACGCGGTCCTTAAAGACCTCAAAATTCCGAGTTTCGCTCCCATTCCTTCAGAAGACAAGATAACCCCTGTTCTTTTGAAAAATTTCCCTTCCTCATTTGATGAGGAAGATCTCAAGGCAGCATTAGCTACGGATTTACCTCAGTTCAGCTTCACTCGTGTTGCTAAATTTAGGCCTCCAGGGCGCTTCATAGCTAAGAATCCTGAGAGATATAACTCCACAATTTGGGAACTTCACCCAGCCCCTAATATGGACCTTCTTATGCTGCTTAGCATCACCAAGCTTCCATCATTAAATCTTATTGTTAAATTTGAGCGCAAAGCTCATCTTGAAGCGCCTCAGTGCTCAAACTGCCAGCGGTACTTCCATACCGCCAAATTCTGCAACTTTCCCTCTCGTTGCGTCCGTTGTGGTGGCTCGCATTCTAAAGGGGCTTGCACCCTTCCGCCTAAAGCCTTTGATCCAGTAACAAAGCAACAAATCCCGGAGACCCTTCCCAAATGCTGTAACTGTGGTCAGACTGGCCACCCAGCAAATTACAGGTGCTCTAAATTTAAGGAGCTTCGTGCTTCTCGCAATGCCAAATCTAAAGCCTCAACGGCTGAAACCCCTAACCGTCTTCCGACTAATTTTGTCAAGCCTGGTTCCTCTTTTGCTTCTATGGCTGCGATTTCTAGTGCTCCTCCGCGCACTGTTGCGTCCTCTGCGTCCGCTGCTCAGCCTCTCAATCCAAAAAAAATTGTCCACCCTGCTCCAATTAATAGCTCTCATAAATCCTCTGGCACTTCAGGCGCAAATATTGGCTCTCATATGCCTGATATTGAATCATTGTTTTCGTTTGCTTTAAGTATTAAGCAACAATTTTCCACTCTCACCTCACAAGTAGAGCGTAAGGCCTTCCTCACTCGTAAAGTATTTGAGTTCGTTTTATATGAATAATCTTAAGATTATTCTTATAAACGTAAACTCTCTCCGCTCAGAGCTTAAGCGTGAAGTTTTTCAAAACTTTCTTACGCATAGTAAGCCTGATGTTCTCCTTGCTGTTGAAACCAGAATCAATCCTGGTTTCACTCTTACTTTCTCTGGTTACAATGTCGTCCGTTTCGATAGGGTTGGTCCTGGTGGAGGGGTTGCAATCCTTCTTAAGGCAACATACGCTTTTTCCGAACTTCGTATTCCTCAACTCTCCTCATTTGAAGCTTGCGGTATCACTCTTCTCCTCGAAAATAACTTTAATGTTGATTTATTCTGCGTGTATTACACGCCCTCTATATCCCAATCTATTGACCCTAATGACCTCACTAAATTAATAAACCTTTCTTCAAATCCATTTGTTATTGGAGGTGACTTCAATAGTAAACACTACTTTTGGAATAACGCTCAAAACTGCATTAATGGTACCAGATTATACAACTGGTATATAAGCAATTGTATTAACCTCAATATTAATCTTGTTGCCCCCAACGCGCCAACACGCTTCAATGCGACACTCGACTTTTTCTTCACTGACAACTGTCTCTCCGACATGATTGGAAATACTTCAGTGGCGTTGCTGACTATCAGGCTGTTGTTTTACCTCTCACAGGCTGTAGAGCCCTCCTATCTGCCCCTCGTACGTATTTAAATTTCGCTGCCACCTGCTGGGACAGCTTCAATTCCACTCTTGACAGAATGATTTCCTCCCTTGACCTTCCTGTAAATAGGAACCTATCACCTAATGAAATTGACTGTGTCACTTCACAACTTGAGAGCATTCTTTCTGCAACTATTGAAGAGCATGTCCCACTGACCCTTCTTAAAAAGTGCTACCAGGTTCCTCTTGATCCTCTTACTGTTGATCTAATCCAACGTCGCAAAGTTCTTCGCCGTAGGCTATATCGCCTCAGGCAAACTAACTCTCCTCGATTTCAGCTCATGCGAGCTATAATTTCCACTCTTGATAATATCCTTACCCAAAGGATCAAGTTGGCTAGAAATAATCATTTCAATGCCTTAGTTCGTTCTGCTAAATGCGACTCTGATGTCTTCAAAAAAGTTAAGCAGATCTGTGGCATTAAAAAAGTCACTCCTGACATCACCATCAATAACAGAAGTTTTTCTGATGACTCAACCAAAGCCAATATATTTGGCGAAACCTTTGAGCTTTATCATAAGGTCTCCCTCGGTGATGGAAATCCAAATTTCAATGCAACGGTCTGCAATTTTGTCCGAGACCATTACGAAAACTTCGGACAAAGCATTACTAACTTCAGCACCAGCTACCCAGCCAACAGTGCTAATACTCTTGACCCAAACGGGTTCATTACTCCATCAGGTCTCTTCACCATCCTTAAGTCAAAAAGACCTAAAAAATCTTCTGGACTGGATAGAATCTCCAACCACGCTATGCGAAATCTGTCTCCTCTCTTTTTTTGCACATGTGCGATTATCTTTAATCACTCTTACAACATTGGTCACTTTCCCAGGCCTTGGAAGAGAGCCATTGTCATACCTGTCCATAAAAGCGGTAAGCCTCATACTCTCCCCTCAAGCTACCGTCCCATTTCCTTACTTAGCTCACTAAGTAAACTTTATGAATCATTCATTGCTAGTCAACTTAAGTCCCACATAACAGAAAAACGACTTCTCCCGAACTTCCAATTTGGTTTTCGTAACAAAACCTCAACCACAGACGCGCTTAGTATTTTCCAAAGTGATATCTGTGTAGGTCTCTATAACTCTCAACCCACCGTGGCTGTGAGCCTAGATATTGAGAAAGCTTTTGATACTGTTTGGATTGAAGGCCTTGTCTACAAGCTCCACCAATACAATTTCCCCCCGCTCCTTTGTAGCATTGTCTACCAATTTGTGTCAGGAAGAAAATTTATGGTTCGTGTTGGTTCTAGCCTTTCTAGGGAATTCCTTGTAGCAGCTGGTGTCCCTCAGGGTTCTGTACTTGGTCCCATACTCTTTAACATCTACACTTCAGACATTCCTATCCCTCCCCCAAATGTCAAGCAGCTCTGCTTTGCAGATGACTGTCTAATATACTCCAAATCGTCTTATACTCCCAGGGTCTCTAACTCCTTAAACCAGCATTTAGGAAATCTTTCTTGCTTTTATCATAAGTGGAAGCTCAAATTAAACCCCCTCAAAGTCTCTGCCATTGCCTTCACTGGCTATGCACGAAATCGTCCAAGCAGTTATAACCCCTCTAACATTAAGCTTAAACTTAATGGGACCCCCATTAAACTTGTTGACAAGTTTAAGTACCTTGGAGTTATGTTCTCTCCCAAACATAACTTCATTCCCCACATCGATTATATTGTCAAGAATGT